TGTTGTCTGCTAATCTCAGGACTGTGCCATTTTACCTGTTGATCTGGAGTTCATCAGCCTCACCAGCCAGCAGCTGCATGAGTCAGAAAAAGTCTCCAGCTCTAGCGGGCCTGCACCCAGCCCCTAGAGCCAGCACTTTGAACTTGGACTTCTAACCTCCTAACTGTAAAAGAATAAATCCATTTGCTAAGCCTCCCACTTGTGGCATTTCTGTTACTGCAGCACTAGAGAACCAAGACGGTGGCTCATATTTTTCTCCTTCTGCACATATTTTTTAAGTTTTGCCGGAAAAAGCTGTGATAGAAGAGATGACTCTGCTGGCAAGAAATAGGAAAGGAGCAAAAAAATCATTTTTGTGCAACTGTTCCTTGCATTGTTGCTATTACAGTGACATTTATTTATTTATATAAAGAATCATTGAATCGAAGATTCACAAAGGCCTAGAATCTGAATGTTTTATGTGTGGTGACTAAGGTCCACATATAGGCTTAGTGAGGCATAGCACTGGTTGAGAGTTTAAATGTTTATTTAAAACAGAAATGCCAAACCACTCCACCCTCAACCTTTCAAACATTTGGCTAACAAGCTAGTTCTTCAGCAACAATGTCAGAGCAGAGGAGTAAGCAGGTTATATCATAACTCAAAAGCAATACTACTGGAAGACTAGAACACCCAGCACTGCATAAAGAAACACGGGACAAAATTCAAAAGGGAATTAGCAGCAGAAAAATCATTCAAAGGCACTTCCGCTGCCTCACCGTTCACTCTTCATCCAATGCACAGATACCTGCCACCTCTGAACTGGTTTGTTTGCATAGCTGTTTGGTAGGAAGAATCATATGGCTGTCCCAGGCACAATTTGGGAAAGTGCAAATTGTCTCTAAGGCACAGAACTTAAATTCTCAGCCAGCCTGATAGCAAACCTAGACTTCCTAAGAGAACACCCCAGAGAAAATGGACACAGCGTTCCACTGAGAGGGAATGAAGCCCCTCAGGAACAAGAGCAGGGCTCTCAGCCTTTCACTGTCACCTTCATCCCACAGTCTTAGCAACATGCCTGTGTCCCCTCATCCCACGGCAGAAGCAATACTATGATTAACACCCAAACTGACCTCGCCTCTCAGGCCTGCTGAGATGGTGAGGGATACAGGAACATGAAAGGCCAGTCAGTCCTTTTAAAAAAAAACCAAAGTTGCATTTACATGATGAACCACAACCCACTGCTAGGGTTTATAGCAAATCTCAAGTCCCCAGAATTTGTAACCTTAATCCAGGGATGGCCCCTTCTCTTACTTCAAGAACAGGCTTCAGTGATTACATTAGTTCTACTGTCCTAAGCTTTCCAGAACTGAGAAAACAATGGGAACATCATACCAAACAAGAGCCCACTGAACAGAGTTGCCCATCCCCAGTAAGGGGTTTTCCCCAAGCAGCAGCCTTTACATCAGTGCTTTCAGGGAAATGGCAAAATTTCCATTGCTCTGGTCCTCCCACAGTCCTAAACAGACAGCAAAATCCATTTTTTGGTTTGGGGAAAATGAAACAAAATTTACCTGTTTGTAGGGAAGTAGGATGTGAGCCTCATCAAAGCAGCGTGTTACCAAGGCTACTAAACGAGCTTCTCACAGCCTAGGTGGGAACACAAAGCTCACATCCTTAAGGGAAACCATCAAGTGCTTGCCCAGAATTCCATCTACAACGTTTTGTTCTTTCTGGACTGACTTCTGTTTTGGGCTAGTTTGCACCCGTCTGCAAGGACACAATGAGTACGGGGTAAGAAGTGAGCTCTCGGCCAAATTCCTTTCACCTGGCAGGTTCTATCTGTTCTGCTAGGCTCCTGGGGATCCCAGAGTTTGGTACTGGCTTTGGGCCACTCAAGTAGGAAAGATGATACAGATTTACTGGTTCTGATATGGCTTCATAATACATCGAAAGGGGAAAAATACTGACTAGACATACAGAAAGGGAGTGGGTGGGGCTGCTGATGTCCAGATTAGAACCCTAAGCTAAGGGTCATGGAGGTAGAGGCACACAGCCTTTTCAGAGTCCCTCTAGGCTTCTCCAAGGTACACAGAGAGGCAGCTAAATGAGGACCCCCTCCCCCCATGATTCTCAGGGCCATTCCTATTGCCCCACTGACTCAATTTTTCACCTCATCTCTTGGCAGTATCTTCCAAAACTAGGAAATCCCATACTGTATTATCAGCCACAGCCTGAAACTCCAGCTGTGTGATGAGGTGGGACCTGCCCGTCCTTCTCTACTTCTCACTGACAAATTTTCAGTCCTCCTAAAGCATTTAGCTGCATAAAGTAACTGAGCTTTCTGAAAACAAGCCCTAGGCTGACTCCACCAGACATATTTTCCTGGGCTCAGGGCTCCTGAGAGGGCTCAGAACACTTCAACACCAGCCAGACGATCCTGGATGGACCGCGCCTGGTTCAGCCCACTCCAGCTTTATACTTGTCCTTCCCCACCCAGAAGTGCAATGCCTGGTGCTCAATTCCCAAGGCAGCTTCCAATCAATGGTGAAAATGATAAATGGGATACAAGCTGCTACCAGCGCAATTAAGGTGAGCATTGTGTCTCCTCTTCAAAGGTGGGATCAACAGATGAGGTACAGAGCTGCTGTTGCTATGGCAGTCACTGAGGACAATGCCAGGGCCATGGGGCCCTTCCATTCTGCAAAACAGTAAAATCACTCCTAGATCCTATCTAAAAGGCAATGCCACTCTCCACATGTACATGGAAAGTGCCGGAGAGCCTCTGCCTTGCGCTCCTTGTCTGCAAGTGAACAAAGCCAGGAAAGCTGCTCTCTGCATTCAGTAAGTGTGCTATCAAGTTCTTTGGACCCCAGTTTCCTGGGGCTGTATAGGGCTCAGGAGACTAAAGGCTGGATCGATAGGAGTCTGTTCCCAGGAGGCACCAGGAATCCGAATCTAAGTCAGGCTTTGGATCCACTTCCACCATCTCTTCCTTTGCTGTCTGAGTTCCTTTGGAATGCATCCCCACCTATGCAGATAAAACACAGTCCCACATTAAAAACAGCGCCACCTAGTCACAGCAGTCGTGTCCATTCAAGACTGTAAATTTTCAATTCCAAACTTTAGTGATAGTCTTGTGAGGCACTCCAAAGCACACCCTTAGATAAAGTTGACACTTTCACATGTGCTGAAGGTAAGGTGACCAACCATGCTGGTTTGCCCAGGATTACAGGGATGCAGAACTCTTGGTTTTAAAACTGGAATGGTCCTGGGCAAAACAATTCTCCTGCATGCTACAGCCGTCAATCATCACACTGACCTCAAGTGTGTATGCTGCTTCCAAAATACCTTCATAGACATTCTTTCATTCATTTCTCAAAACAGCCATACAAGGTGGGTATTATTTTCTTCTAGTTGAAAAACAAAATAATTTGTCCAAACACACACAGTCGGCAAATGGCAAAGCCAAGAGTTGAACCCTATTTCCCTACTTCTAGTTCACGCTATACAGAGAGAGCAACATTGCAGACAGTAAAGTATTTTCACCAAAAATGTTTAACCTGAATGAAATTAAGCCTTTAAATCTAACTTCCAGTTTACAGAAAATACAGGGTGACAAAAGAGCAAGTTAACACCTCAAGGAAACAGAACAAATCCAGAATGTGGGACAATCTATTAAGTTTCTGGCCTGGCTTCTTCAATAATTCAATGTCATGAAAATATGTTAAAAGGAAACAAAATAAAATCTAAAAAATGGTGCTGGTGGTGGAAGAACCGTTCTAGATTAAAAGACTTAAAAGTGGGTTCTTGACTGGATTCTGGACTGGGGGGAAAAAAACATAAAGAATTAGGGGAGCTATACCATGATTTTTATAATTTACTTAAAAATGTATATATTTATACACATACATATTTGAAGTAAAGATAGCAACACATTAATAACTATTGAATCCAGCTGGTAGATATGTGGGTGTTCAGCGTTCTGTCAAGGAGCTCTGGTGGTGTAGTGGGTAAGGCATTTGGCTGCTAACCAAGTTGGCGGTTCACACCCACCAGCTGCTCCACGGGAGGAAGATGAGGCATCTACTTCTGTAAAGATTTACAGCCTTGGAAACCCAACGGGGATCTCTATGAGTTAGAACTGACTCGATGACAGTGGGTTTGGTTTGGTTTTTATTGTACTGTAATATTTAAAATTTTACAAAGTAAAACGTAAAAGAGAAAGCAACGGAAGTTAAATGATGAAAGTGACTCGATCCAGGCATCTGAACAAGTCCCAAGGGTTCTGGGATTAACTACAAAAGTTGCATCACTAAAAGGTAAGTACCTGCAGAGGAATAAGGCTATTTTTAGTCCTTGGTGTTTTGTTTCTGTGATTTTTCAAAGCAGACTTAGAAATGGAATTGCTTTAAGGCTCTCACCTGCCGCCTTCCTTCCAATTTCCTGTCCTGGAGTTGGGTCAAAATCTGGAGGTTTTCTTGCTGTAGCTTCTGTTGTTCAGCCAGACACTTTAACACGAGACCCTGCAGTCTCTCCACCTCTACCTGCAGAGTGCTGCATGCACAGGCCGGGGGAGCCAACGGTGTTCCCTTCCCGGCACACGGTACTGCGGCAGTCAGCCGAGGAGGCTGCAGGGACAAGAGGGACAGCTCACGGGAGGACCTGCCCAAGTGCCACAGGACCCCCATCCAAACTTCCTGTAAGTACACTCAAATTCTACCTTAAGATAGAATGTGAAACTTATGTAAAAGAACCAAAGCACTGAGGTTACAGTAGCACCTGACTCTAACATAGGGCGAGGGACCCTCAGCGCCTCAGCCCCCACTACGAAGAACAACATGCATTGATTTTAGGGGACTTTGCGAAAAACTTTAAAGTGCGTTAATATGCTTTCATTTAAAATACTGAAGTGGGGTAAAGCATGCTTTGGTTTATAAAAAGTCCTTCTGATACAGTGAGGACACTGTGTCCTCCTCATCTTAGTGAAGACACTGGGATTCAAATGGTCAATTATCAGGAGATGGAGTGGATCACATTTAAAAAGAGATCTGAGATGCGCTGAGTAAACAGAAGGATCAAACTTTAAATTCTTCAAAGCAATTCCGGGAGGTAGTCCTCTGAATAGAATAAGGAGATTCTGCATAGTTTAACACGAGGAAAGGTGTGTGTCACGGTTTAGCCTTTCACTGCACTTATTCAATCTATGTGCTGAGCAAATAATCCAAGAAGCTGGACTCTAGGAAGAATATAGCATTAAGGTTTGGAGGAATACTCATTAACAACCCATGATATGCAGATGACACAACCAAAGAAAACTTGATGAAGATCAAAGACAACAGCCTTCAGCATGGATTACACCTCAACATAAAGAAAATGAAAATCCTCACAACTGAACTAATAAGCAACAACATGATAAACAGAGAAAAGAATGAAATTGTCAAGGATTTCGTTTTGCTTGGATCCACAATCAATGCCCATGGAAGTGGCAATGAAGAAATAAACTACGTATTACATTGGACAAATCTGCTGCAAAAACCCTCTTTGAAGTGTTCAAAAGCAAAAATGTCACTCTGGGGACTAAGAAGTACCTGACCCAAACCATGATATTTCAACTGCCTCGTATGCATATGAAAGCTGGACAATGAATAAAGAAGACCGAAGATATACTGATGCCTTTGGATTATGGTATTGGCCAAGAATCCGCATATACCATGGACTGTCATGGAACGTGTCCTGGAAGAAGTATAGCCAGAATGCTCCTTAGAAGCAAGAATGGTGAGAATTCATTTCAGGTACTCTAGACATGTTGTCAGGAGTGACCAGTCTCTGGAGAAGGACATCATGCTTGGTAGAAGGTGACTGAAAGAGGAAGACCCTCAACAAGACGGAATGACAGAGTGGCTGCAACAATGGGCTGAAGCACAGCAACAGCTGTGAGGATGGCACAGGACTGGGCAGGCTTCATTCTGTTGGACGTAACTATGAGTTGGGACTGACTCAATAGCACCACCACCAACAACAACAACATCTGCCAGAGGAACTAAAACATTTACCTTGAAGTTTCACAAGCTTTAATACCTCTTCTAGAAAGCTTTTCAATGACCGTAGCCTGGATCTTTCCCTCTTCTTCTACTGTATTTTGCTTACGGTGGGGGCTGGCAAATGATAGCCCATGGGCCAGATCCAGCCTCCTGCCTATTTTTGTAAGTACCGTTTTACTGAAACACAGACAGCCTCATTCATTGGGTATTATCTATGGCTGTTTGTATCCTACAATGGCATAGTTGAGTAGCTGCAAAAGAGTGTACGGCCCGCAAAGCCTGAAATAATTACCATGTGGCCCTTTATAGAGAAAGTTTGATGCCCTTGGTTTATAGATTTATTGATCACAATTTGGTTTCTATTAAGATTAGGTTTACCTGTGTTGCTCCCTCACTAGACTACAACAAGCATAACTACTTACTTATATTTAGAGTGTCCAAACCAACCTAGCAGTATCATGCTTACTAAACGGAACCTGGATTTTGGAATTTCAATGTTGGTACTTTTAAGGCAGAGGGAAAGGACAGACAGTCTTCTGGGGATGAAAGGCATTAGCCTGTCAGAAAAGTGAAAGGATAAGTATCTTCCCCAGGCAACTGAGCTGAGCCCTGGGAGGGGCTTTACCCTGCTGACAGGGTAAGGCGTTGAAGCAGGGCAGCTGGAAGCCAATGAAGAGGCCGGAGTTGACAGTGAGGCCAGGAGAACTGGGCACAGCTTACAGCCACTGTTTACCTAGTTGTGATTCAAAGGCAGAAAGCTCAGTTACCCAGGCGACTACTGGAGGCTTGTGTTCCGAAGGAGCTTCAGAGGCCACTTTGAGTCCCTGCAGCTCTTCATAAGGCAGGGTATCTTTCTCAGATTCTGAAAAAGCTGCACTCAGGGGCGAGGGGCTGTCAGGCATGGGGATGAATTCAGCGTTTTCCAGCTCCTAGACACACGAGAAAGATCTTAGCAGTTCCGTTGGCAGCAGTTTACTTTCCAAGTTCCCTTCTCTTGCTCTGGCTCTGGCTGTCATGGCAGCCACCATCACCCTCTAGTGGGCAGGATTGTTGTGGTCAACAACACAGTTCCCCTGCTGGCTGACAACCTGCTATCTGTCCTCAGAGGACTAACAGTAATGCAAACTCAAGTCAGGAAAACAATCAGGAGTGTCCCCATCACACTTACTCTACATATTCAGTGTGGTGGGAAGCGTGCGGTGGTCATGAGGGGCAGACTGCGAGGCTGCTAAGGGCTGGGGCTGAAGCTTTGGACACAGCACTGTGCTGTTTCCTCCTATCATAATCCTCAAATAACCAGTGAGTTTAGCCTTTTTGGAAGTGTCATATTTTTTTTTTTTCATAAAAATTTTAAGATTTCACAAACTGTAAATGCTGATTGTAGAAAATAAAAAAATGCAAATGGACAAAGGAAGAAATAAAAAAAACTATGTAATTCCAACACTCAGAGAAACCACTGTTAAAATTCTCAAACATAGTTTTGTAGGCATTCATTACATATTTTCTGGAAAAAAAGAGACCATACTGCCCCAATATTCTATCCTTTCTGCTTATCAGTACATTGTGAACAACAATTTAATGTCTGCATCTCAACTTTCTAAACCATTTCCCAAACATAAGGCATTTCAACTGCCCCAATATTCCACTTCTAAAAACCACAGTAAAAAATCTGTAAGCTTAATTTTTACCCACCCACACTAAAAACTACCTTCAAGGAAGGCTGTATTAATTTACATTCACTGAAGTAATATGGATATGGGAATATTTTATATATCATCTTGTTGAGAAGAAAAGGATGGGAGATCTGGTAGAAATCGTTCCAGGCAGAAATCAGAAAACTAAGCATCTGCTGCAAAAGAAGTCAAGGGAGTGAGAAACATTCCTGACAGCTCCTCTCTTCTCCATGCCCAGGGCCTGATACCTTCTCTGACGTGTTCCCACTACGGCAGTTACCTTTCGAAGCCAGCCAGGACAGGAGCTGCTGGCCCCACTACTGATTCCCATGGCCTCTGTGGGACTGATTAAACCTTCCATTCCTCGGTCTGCTTCCATTGTTCCTCGGAAGCCTCCACTTGGATCAGGAGTTTCAGATTCCTGCCGACTGTCCTCTTCATCAGCACCACTGCCGCCGCCACTTCCCGGGCTGGAGCTCTGAACCACTGACAAATACACAGCAAAGACGTATGGAGCTTTGCTGTGAGACAAGGAAGCCTGACCATCCTCCAGCCCCAGCTACCCAGGGAAACCCAATCATTTGCTGTCAGGTTCATTCTGACTCATGGCGACCTCACGTGGGTCAGAGCATAGCTATAGTCCACTGGCCCATCTTTCAGACACAGGTTGCCAGGCCCTTCTTCCAAGCTTTCTCCGGGTGGACTTGAACTGCTAGGCAGCCTTTCAGTTAAGCAGCCAAGTGCACTAACCATTTGCACCAACCAGGGATTCCCACTCCTGGAAAGGTTCCTAGAATTGCATGACGTGGAATAGCAATAGTGCAAGTCAGATATGTGGGACTAAATTTTTAGTTTTTACCTGAAGTATACACGTATCAGTATCTTCTAATAATGACTCACTCCTCCTCCCCACACTGACCCATCTGTACACCCATGGCAGACCATCAGTGCTCCCAGGCAGTCCTGAACAGGCACCTTAGCTGTGGCTCACCAGACTGAACATCCACACTTACTCTGCTTCTTGAACAGACAAATTCAGAGTCTAGCATCTTCCACAGACATTCCTCCTATACAAAAGCTCTTTAACATTTGAGTCGAACATCTTTTAAAGTAGTGAAATAAACTCACCACCAACTCCCTTTCTGGGGAAATACTCAAATGGTCAACTCTTCAACATTAATGAGGCTTAAATGCTGTCAAGTTGATTCCGACTCATAATGACTCTATAACCAAAACCAAACTCACTGCCTTCGAGTCAGTCCCTACTCATAGCAACCCCTCCTTGGGTTTCCGAGATGGTATGTGTACAGAAGCAGATTGCCAACCTTTCTTCTGAGGAGTGGCTGGTGGGTTTGAACTACCAGCCTTCCAGTCAGCAGTCAAATGCCTTAGGCACTACACCACCAGAGCTCCGATAATGACTCTATGGGACAGAGTAAAACTACCCCCGAAGGTTTCCAAGGCTGCAATTTTTACGGGAGCAGATTGCCACATCTTCCTCCCATGGAGCGGCCAGTGGGTTCGAACCGCCAACCTTTCACTTAGCAGCCTGTGCCACTAGGGCTCCTTCTTTGAGAACTATTTGTATAAATTTTTCAAATATAGCTTGTTCCTTCATATCATTCTGCACATTCCAAGTTACCTAGATAGACTAGCTCATGTGTGGTAAGAAAATGAAATTGGATTTTAATATGTGTTAAAGGAGACAATTAAACTAAATTTGCCAAAACTAAAAAACAAACAATGGCATGGTATAAGCTAAGGTGAACCATACAGGGCTGTTTGCTATCCTGCTCTCCTGGACTGAAGACCAGCACACCACACTCTGATCCCACTGAAGCAGCAGAACTGAAAATGCCAAAACAAGCTCTGAAGCTTACTATTTATTACACTTGTAACTATTTGGTACTACTTGTTACACCATACTATTTTCCTAAGACTATTTTGGTGGAACTGTTTTGGGAGCTCTGGTGGCATAGTGCCTAAGGCATCTGACTGCTAACCTGAAAGCTGCAGTTCAAACCCACCAGCCACTCCTCCGAAGGAAGGTTGGGCAATCTACTTCCATAGTGATACCACCTCGGAAACTCAAGGAGGGGTCGCTATGAGTCGGGTCCAACTCAACAGCACATAACAACAAGACTATTTTTAATATATATGTAAGCTCTGACACCTAACAATAACCATGTGGCTCTACCATCCAAAGATCTGGCGCTGTGCTATCCACCAGCCATATGTGGTCACTGACATTGAAATACAATTTAGAATTCAGTTCCTCAATCCCACTAGCTGCTTTCCAAGTGCTCAACAGCCCTATGTAGCTAGTGGCTACTATGCTGGACAGCACAGATCCAGAACATCTCCATGATCACAGACAGATCTATTAGCACTGAACTGGAAGACCACCTGTATCTGCCTTGTGAATTCCTTGTTGGGCTCCCACTCAGATAAAAACACTCCGATTAGCTTTATGTTTTATATCTCTGCTTCAGAAACACACAGCTTTATCACATAGTTGTGCATCTTTAAACATGTGTTATTTATTTGGCTCATTTTGGAACTGTATAAAATCATGTAATCTAAGATTTATAGAAAACTTAAACACCTCAACAACAAAAAGACAGACAACCCAATTAAAAAGTGGGCCAAGGACATGAACAGACACTTCACCAAAGCAGACATTCAGGCAGTGTGGTGCAGCCAATTACTTAGTACGGCCCTTCTAGCCATGGTCTTTGTAACTCCCACTAGATGACTGGGTGGAACTATGCAAATCTGAGGTGCTTGTGGCCCACCAAGGGGACTGGACAGTTTGCTAACATAAATAACGTACAAGGTACCCGTATGGGAGTGGGACCATGGAATAAAGGTGTATGGAACCCTAACTTGAGGATTGGTCAGTTCTGCCATCTCACTAGGGTTAAAATCAGGCATCCCACAGGGAGAAAAGGGGGATCTCATTACCATGAAGATAAAGGAAGGTGGGAGTGGAGTGCGTCCTGGGACCCAAGATCCCTGTGCTGAGATGGGAGAGAGACAGTGGCAGCAGAACTAATAGACTGACATGAGACAGAGCGGCAGGCCTGCCAGCCCCATAATGTGAGAAAGCTGAGTAACTCTGGGCAGGATGCTTGCTGGCAGAGTGGGGTATACCTATCCACAGAACTGAAACAGCTTTGTAACACTTGCCTGAGCAGGGCAGAGGCCAGGCCAAGAGGCCAAGAGCCAAAGAGAAGGATGCCTGAGGGCACGGCCAAGGGGAGGCTGTCCTGATCCAAGAATTGTATTATCAGCATTCCTGAACCTGAACTGTAACCTGGTGCTCCTTAGTAAACCCTATCTATAATCATGAGTATCATCTGTGAGTTCTATGTGGTCATTGCAACAAATTATCAAACCCAGTAGAGAAGCAGAGAGTGCCATGGGAGGGAGGGTTGGTGTCAGAACTGCCAAGAAGGCTGGACGGTAGCAGCCTGTCTGACCTCCTCTGCCTCACAGGAATCAGCCTTGGGCTGATGTGCTGATAGTGAATTTCTCTCTCCCTTATGAAGTTAGAGAGGATTGGAAAAAACTACCCCCACGCCCTTCATGCAGGAGGCCAACAAACACATGAAGAGATGCTCTTGATCACTAGCCATTAGAGAAATACAAATGAAAAAAAAATGATATATATCTCACCCAAGCAATAATAGCAATGATCAAAACAAACAACCAACCAACCAACCAGAAAACAACAAATGCCAGCTAGAGTGTGGGGAGACTGACCTCTCATAAACTGCTAGTGGGACTGTAAAATGGTACAACCACATAACCACTGTGGAAAATAGTATGGCACTCCTTTTAAAAGTCAGAAATAAAGATACCATGTGATCCAGGAATCTTACTACTAGGTACAGATCCTTGAGAAACAAGAGCTGTGACACAACAGATACATGCACACCCATCACAGCATTATTTACAACAGGAAAAAGATGGAAGCAACCTAAGTGTCCCTCAGTGATGTGATGGAATACTATGCCATATTAAAGAAGAATAATGAATCAAGGAAACATCTCACAACATGGATGAACTGGAGGACACTATGCTAAGTGAAATAAGTCAATCACAAAAGGACAAATATTCTATGAGATGAGTATTATAGAAAGTCAAGAAAAGATTACACACAGCAACGTTCTTTGATGGTTACCAGGGATGGGAGGAGGAGGGACGGAAAATTACTAGAGTAGACATGTATTAACTTGGGTGAAGGGAAAGGTAATACACAATAAAGGGGAGGTCAGCACATGATTAGAGCAAAAGAAGACAGTGGGAGGTACACAAGAGTGAAAATCAGCAAGGGCAAATGCTAGTACACACACAGTGACGGGGATGACATAGTTCACGAGGGGATACAGAAGGGCGTAAGATGAACAGATGTGGGATGGTGTATGGGAGCACACCCACAGGCACGGACAGGTCTGGCAGAGAACACTTCTACACAGGCATTTGCATGTGCTGCTAACATCCGTGTATAACAGTTTCGTGACGTTAGCTGCAACCCCCTCAGTGTAACTGCACACTCTTCCCACTCCCTCCCTGGCCTCCTCGTTTCCATTTACCCATCTTTCCTGCCCCCTCCTGCCTTCTGCACTTTGTGTTTGGGCAGATGCTGCCCTTTTGGTCTCATGTAGTTGATTGTAAAGCATACAAGGGACAAAGTTATACACACGTCTTAGCTATAACCAAACACCTTGAGGGACTGAGTCACTGCACTTGAGGGCTCAGGACCAAAGGCTTGGGGTATATCTAGGTCAATTGGCAAAACATAGTACATAAAGACAATATACTACATCCTACTTTGGTGAGTAGTGACTGGAATCTAAAAACCTTGCAAGTGGCCATCTAAGATACCACTGTTGGTCTCCCTGTTTGGAGCAAACAAGAGTGAAAAAATCAAAGATTCAAAACAATTAGTCCAAAGGACTAATGGCCCACATGAACCACAGCCTCCATGGCCCAGGGACCAGATGAACTAGATGGAACCTGGCTACCACTACTGACCACTGATTGGGATCACAACAGAAGGTCCTGAACAGAGTGGGAGAAAAATGGAGAACAAAATTCAAAATCATGAAAAAGACCAGACTTACTGGTCTGATACAGCCTGGTAGGACTTCACACCTGGAAATGAACCCACTCTGAGAGATCACCTTTGAGACAAACAACAGAAAGGCCCATGAAGTGAACAGTAACACCTGTGAGGAACGTGCTCCTTAGAACAATCAACTACATGAGACCCAAAGGGCAGCATCTGCCCAAACAGAAAGTGCAGAAGGCAGGAGGGGGCAGGAAAGATGGGTAAATGGAAATGAGGAAGCCATGGAGGAGGTAGGAAGAGTGTGCTGTTATATGAGGGGATTGCAACTAATGTCACGAAATCAAACAGTAATAGATTGTTGAATGGGAAACTAATTCGCTCTGTAAACTTTCACCCAAAGCACAATACAACGTCCAAAGCAAAAATAAAAAGACATGTACCCTGCTACAAACTGCTTTTTATATTCTATATTATGGAAATATTTGCAGATGATCATTTTCATTCCTCTATATTCCACTAGGTGGTTATAGCAAATTTCATCAACAAATACTGATTGAGCACGTACCCTGTGCCAGGCACTGTTCTAGGCATTGCAGATAAAAGTAATGACCAAAGAAGACAAAAATCTCTTCTCTTATAGAGTTTACGTTTTCCTGCCAGAGGAAGTTTGCTTTTAATCTTATGTTTTTCCTTTAAATACCACTCCAGCAAAACAAAATTGTAATAGAACAGCTGTGCTTAGCAGAGAAAGCCTTATCATTTGCGACAGATATCAGCCTGCACAAACAGACATGCTGAACAACAAATGCTTCATGCAAGCCAATAAAAGGGGGGATAAGGGGTATGTGAGTGTGAACTAAAGTTCAACAGGTCTAGATCAGACTTGCAACTGTTTCTTTTGAGGGAATTAACCTGTTTCTGTTCTGCCTCTTTTACTGTTTTGATTCAACAGAATATCAGAATGCAGGTTCTGAAACATCAGAGACCTACAGAGATTCTGACAGGTAGAAAACCCCAATGGAACAGAGATTCAATTTCCTGGCATTGTTTCAAACAATAGCAAGCCATGGAGAAAACAATCAATGGAAAATTATCAGAATTTTGGTCTGATTTTCCTAACAATATTTAAAGTTTAGCTGAGTTTTAATTCTGAGGACGATTTGAAGTACTATTTCTGTAGACTGGAATTCCCCTGGGAAAACTATGGAAGTAAAGGGCAGAAAGAACCCATAGCCCCTAGGATACAAAGGAAAGAACAGTACATAAGTCACATTACAATGTTGAGCAAGCCACTTAATCACTTCCATCTGCAGGGAGGCAAGGGTGCACTCTCCCTGACCACAATGTAAAAGTCCTAACTGATTGCGAAACGCACCAAAACATGCACCTCCCTCTTAATCACTGTATTCCTCATTGCCCAAAGAAATTTCTTATTTTCTTTTGAGATCTGGAGAATGCATGGAATCCAACCCAATGACCCACACTTGAGGAAATCACTGGTACCTGAGAAATGGCTACTCACCAGTTCCGATGGATAAGCCACTGCTATTAGAACGGATGGTCTTAGAATTCAATACTTTTTCTGAGGAAAAACATTCAACAGGTAAGCACTGTATACAGATAAACACAGGGAAAGTGAGAAGACCAGCAGAGAGAGCTAATTCAGGAAATAAATGCTATCCCTGACTCCAGATAACTTTATAATTATTAGCTACTGTTTCAAAAATTAATATCATAGGCTAAGAATCAGTATTTACATGAATTATATTCACTATCCAACACAGCAGTTTTTCACCTTGGCTATTCAATGGAATCACCTTTAAAAAAGTAACAACGTCTAGATCTCAACCCAGAGATGCTCAATGAATTGGTCTGAGGCTGTCAGGTCTGGGCAATGGGATTTTTAAAAGTTCCCCAAAACCAAAAACCAAACCCACTACCCATCGAGTTGATTCCAACTCATAGCAATCCCCATTGGGTTTCCAAGGCTACAACTTTTCACGGGACTGGATTTCCTCATCTTCCCACAAAGCAGCTGATTTTTTGGTTAGCAACCAAATGCCTTACCCACTTCATCACGAGAGTGCCTTCAAAGCTCCCCAGGGGATTCTAATGTACAGCCAAGGTTGAGAAGCAATGATCTAAAGATGAACTTGTAAACCTCACCCAGGCCTTTATGATTTGTTCATAACAAAGTAATCTTTATGTGGAAAGCATTTATGATTTAAAGTTTCTTTTTAAAAGTATACTAAGTTTCTCATGAAAACAGGTAACAAATTAATTAGTGAAAAACAAAATGTAACAAATAATATGGAAAGCCAGACAGAGACCAAAGAGACTATGTTAAAGAATGGTCAAGAGGCAGAAGATAACAGAGTTATATGGAAATGATACTGTTCTGTTCCTACCACTAAGTATGGCATCCCTGCCCATTACAAGACTTATAGAAGCAGTCTCTTTTGTTCAGGATACTTCTGTATCTAAGAATGTGACCACTAACACCTTAGGTGTGGGTCTAGCCTCTGTGAAAACCACCCTAACCCCACATATACAAAATCCTTACCAACAATGAGAATGGTGTGCCAGCCACGACAAGACAGGTCTGGGACGTGATGCAGAGATCCAAAAATCGGCCGAGGCCACGAGGTACAGATATCAGAGCCATGTGGTCTCTCGGTGGGGGTCATTGCCAGGCGGCCATTACCACCATTGCCCCAGGCAAAAATGTGATTATCTAGAAAAGAAAAAAAATTAAATAGATAGTTTAACAGGACAACAGCTTCCCAGCTCTCTGTGTTCCCCTCTTTATGTCCTAGAGCCAGAGAAACTTCCCAGTACATGCTGAGCCAGGGAAAGCTGCTTATTCTACTATGTTGTTGTTGTTGTTATGTGCCGTCGAGTCGGCCCCGACTCATAGCGACCACTCCTTGGGTTTCCGAGGCAGTATTACTACGGAAGCATGATTGCCCAACCTTCCTTATATAAAGCCTAAAGTCTTCCCGATCCTACTGGGGTGAAAATGACCACTTCTCCTATGTACTGCCACCCACTGATTCATTCACTTTCTCATTCAACAACTTTTTCTTCGTACCTCATTCAACCATTGCTTATTGGGCATCTACTTCATGACAGACACTGTTTGAGGGGCTGGGGACAGAGCAGTGAACCAAAACCATGCCTGCCGTCGTGGAACTGACATTCTAGTGGGGGAGGAAAATGAATACATAAACATTTACTAATTTAGGCAGTCATAAATGCTATGAAGAGATAAACAGTGAAGAAAAATAAGTGGAAAGGAGGAATTACAGAGTCTGGTGGAGTATCATTGCTTTGGATAATGGTAGTCCGAAAAGTACTCTTTTACTTTATTGTGATTTGGGTTAAAGTTTACAGAGCAAAATCACTTTCCATACAGCAGTTCACATACACTTTGTCTCATGACATTGACTACAATTTACCACAGTGCAACAGCTCCCCTCCCACTTCCTCCCCATAGTTACCTCTTCCCTGCTTTCATCCCTCCATGCACTTCTGGCTCCATGAGCTGTCTCCCTGTGAATACACAGCCCCTCTATTCTCCCATGATTGTTCTCTCCTAAGAGTGTATCTACCTAGTATAAATGTTCAACTCATATGCCTGTCTTTTGTTTGGCTGGAAGCCATGGGAGTGGATTCAATTCCAGACCTGAAGGGCAGTGAGGGGCCGCAGCCTCAGGGGTTCCATGAGAAGTACTTTTTGACATTGGAGCAGAGAACTATTTGAACGAGGGAGAGTGCCATGTGGAGGTGTGGGGAAAAGCTTTCCAGGAAGCGAGGACAGCAAGGCAAACTCTGCGCAGGTGACACGAGTGAAATGAACATGGAGGCCCTGCAGCTGGAGCAGAGTAAGAGAGGGGCCAGTGGTGGCAGAAGAGGTGGCTGGGCTCCTGGTCATACAGAGCCATGCAGGCCACTGTCATGATTTTGGCTGTGATGGCTAAAACAGGAAACCACTAGAAGTTTGGGGCAGAAGGTATTTTAGCGGATCCTGTACGCTGCCACATGAACTGACTGCAGGGGAGCGGGGGTGGAAGCACGGAGGCCAGCTGAGGCAAATGCAGTATCCTGGTGACATAAGGAGACCCGGCCCAGCTGTAGTGATGGAGATGGCGAGAAGTGGCTGGATGTATTCTGAAGAAGTCATCAGGATTTGCTGATGGATGGGATGGCGGGGAGGAGGTACAGAATGAAACTGCCACTGACTGAGAAACAGGTCAGGACAGAAAAGTAGAAGTCTGATTTTGGGTATACTAAGATTGTCCAAGATGCCTATAACTGCTACTCAAATTAGGACATTTTTGAATAATAAGGGGGTGCTGTTAGTGATTAAGCCAAGTGTGAATCAGGACTCACTAGAGAAAACTGAGCTACTACATAACTTCCTACTTTAGACATCCGAACAGTGGGGCTGTTCAATGAAAGAGTCTGGAGGTCAGGGGTGGTGACAGAAAGCTGTCAGAGGACAGAGAGGAGGTTGGGGTGGAGGAAGACGTGGAGTGGAAGGAGGACTGAACCCTAGGGAGCTCTAAAGCTTAGAGGAGGCCAATATTGCTCTCCTGACATGTGATACACCTGCCCGTACCAATGCATTTAGATCATGTGTACTCTGCTAGACTTTGAGCTCCTGGTGGACAGAGGCTTTCTCAGACTCATTCTATACTTCCAGAGCTTAAAAGATGCCTGAAGCACACTAGGCATTCAGGTTCCATCTGCCACATGAATGAACGTACCAAGGACAGTTCAGAGTGGTGCAGGGACATTTACCCCGAGGTAATATGTCCAGGCACCGAATGCCCCGTTCTGAAGTTTAACTCATGAAGTACACAGATCTGTTCAAGAGACATCACCTCTCTAAGGGCCTGTCAGAAAGTACTGTGAAAGATCTGTTGCACTAAATGTCACCCTCAGTGACATCTGGACTCTGTCCTTCTAGGTACTATTTCCTTTTATCTATGTCTGACCTGAATAGATTGCTCCTTAGAGTCCCTGCTTTGGGGGCTAGCAGGGGGCTCGACGTGCCACTCTGAAAGCTGGTTCACTTACTCAAATATGGTAACAGATCAATTATCTGACACTATTCCTGGCATCCCTCATGCATACACAACAGGTACAGATCAGAAGAAAACAGATATTTCAGAGCATGGGCTGCAACAAAAAAAGTTGAAATAAGTCAACAGATAAGAAAATGAAAAGTGATTTGTTATTCACCAGTCACAGGAAAGAAGTGGCTACAAAAATCAAAGAGTTCAGAAGATGGCAAGGAGAGAGAGAAGAAGTAAGAGAAAAAAGCAGAAGAAAATGAAGGGCAGCAAACGTGGCAGTAAAGAAGAGAAGCTGTGACGAGCACAGAAAGATACTGCGGAGAAGAGACAGCTATGAGAAGAAAGAGGACAGACACACAATACCTAACACACACACAACACAGAGGAGAAGGGACCTTCCAACCTCGGCAGTCCCTAAGAGCATCACTGCAGTGGGGCTGACCTCAGTCAAGGAGCAAATGCAAATGACGTTCTCGCCAGTGACCCAGCCAACATTTACTCAGATGAACTTGGTGCTGGGCAAAGGTATATAAAGAAGTATTTACTAATTTTTGGAACACTTTACCAAAAGTTAAAATTAAAAAAGCAGGCACTTAGTGTATTAATTTGCCATTATCCAGAAGTCTGACTTTAAAAAGCTACAGTTGAATATTGTTGTTGTTGTTATGTGCCGTCGAGTCGGCCCCGACTCATAGTGACCCCTCCTTGGGTTTCCGAGGCAGTATCACTACGGAAGTAGGATTGCCCAACCTTCCTTCAGTTGAATATATATAAAGTTAATGAAACTCCGTATGAATAACAACTGTCACCAGTATAAGACAAATAAAACAGTAAAGTATGACCCAGCTACACAAACAAGTGAGGACTGAAGCACAGTCATCTGTCCAGAAATTTTGAAATAGGTGTGCAGACTCACCATCAGTGGCAGCAATGGTAAACTCATCGCCGCAGGAGACCCTGATCACTTGCTTTCCACCTAAGGGTCCCCCCAACAGGTTGATTCCTAGACGCTTCTTGTAATTCCCAACACCCAGCTGCCCACACTTGTTGCAGCCAAAGGTCAGCAGGCGGCCTCGCTCTGAGAGAGAAGCAAAATAAATAACCAGACACAAATGGGTCAAGGAATGGAGGGAAAACACAACCAACACAGAATTCCATGGACTAGACTAGCTTCTGATTATTGGAGTATATAAACAGAAAGCTGGCCCACAGTCCTGGACCCAGGACAGCTAGGTTATCTAAGAACTGTGACCAATTACATGCAGTATCTACTCCCATTGAATCAATTATGATTCATAGTGACCTATAAAAAAAATCAAACACACTGCTGTCCAGTCTGATCCGACTCATAGCAACCCCTCCTTGGGTTTCCAAGGCAGTATCACTATAGAAGTCGATTGTTCAACCCTCCTTCCGAGAAGTGGCTGGTGGGTTTGAATTGTCAGCCTCTTGGTTAGCAGTCAAATGCCTTAGGCACTACACCACCAGAGCTCCTTATAGTGACCCTATAGATTCAATCAAAATTACACCAATAGGTGACTCAACAATATACTTTCTTTCCATTATTGCATTTCAATGTAGAAAATGGGTACTACATAACTCAGAACACTTATCAAAAGTGCTAATCAGAGGTAACAGTTGTCTGGAATTATAGTTGTGGTGTTCTCATTACGGGATATATTTATTATGCATTTATAATAATTATCAACAAAAGCATCTACTTGAATACCTCACTTGTTAATGAGATAACACCGGATGCTAGGAGGAAATCAGGAGAATGAATGTATTGTTAAGAAAATACTTGATAGAATAAACAAGACTGAGCTACCAGGGCATGTGTATACAGCTGTAAATCAACTCACCATCAATAGCAGCTGTGTGAGTCTTGCCTGGGGCAATGGTTCTGATCTTATAAAAGGATAACTGTTTGGCCAAGGTAAAGGAGGTTGTGTAGGGAACTTCATGGTATGCCTGAAACAAGGTAAAACACAAAGCAAAGACTCATGATACTAAAATGGAGGCGTGATCAGGCTGAGAAAAGGTCAGGGCCAAAAGGCCTTTCAGACATATCACGTTACTAAGAAGAAGGTGCCAGGTAGTTTTTCATCTCCAACAGAATAGAAGAAATAGGCTCAATAGGTAAGCAGAGGGTTTAATTAGCATATGAAGTAAGGCTCTCTAACAATTAAAAGTATTAGAGTCTGAATTAGGATATGCAAAACACTCCACCCCAGAAGGTATTTATTTCAGAACAGAATCATTGGCATTTGTCTTAACTATATATTCTGCATACCTAACGGGGGCAGGACAAAGGGTTAAAATACTGAGTATGCTCTCCACGACAAAGCAGCCAGTTTAATGTGATCTAAAGTCATTATTAGGGCAGTATTTCTCAACTTGTTAAAACACATGTTCCCTTGGGATAAGCATAAAAAACCCATCCTCTCCTACAAGTTTAAAATTTCACAAGTCCAAAGTTCCTTCTTTCTTTCTTTCACAAGTCGAACAAAACACACATCAAGTAACAGTGATTGTGAATATGCCTTTTCCAACTATACAGCCAGCCTCCTCAGCCACCACACTGAACCTGTACTCATTTTCCCAACTGAGAATCACTACTTCAAAGACTGCTTAAAAACTAACCTCTATCTTTCTCATTGAGTCAGGAAATTCGTCTCTTAACTTGATTCTTTAGAAATGACAAAGAGGTGACTTAGTATCAGTGGTGAATTCCACTAATTTCCAGTCGGGTCATTCTCATAGGTCTTAAGAATCAGCTGGGGATCTTGTTAAATGCGGATCTGAGTCAGTATTTGGGGGTGGAAATGAAAATCGGTTTGAAGCTCTGATTTCACTACATTCTTGAACAAAGAGAATGGTAACTATATTTAATAAACTGACACAGGATTAGTTCTCTGACAGCAATGAATCTAAGAAGTTCCCCAGCAAAGTGATGCATGGAAATGTGTTTCTTTTCATAACATTAATTCTCTAGTCCCTATTTCAATGACAGGGCAGAACCTGAATTCTATCACTTTATTCTCTGTAGTATCATTGAGGTATAACTAGCATACTATACAACACTGTACAGCTTGGTAAGTTTTTCTGTGTGTTTATAACTGAAACCACCACCCAGATCAAGTTACAGACCAATTCCATCATGCTAAGAGGATGCCTCCCACCCCTGCTCAGTTATACCTACACCCCTCTTCCCAAAGGTAACCATTATTCTGTTCCTGCCACTATAGGTTAATTCTGCCCATTCTTAAACTTCATATAAATGGAATCTGACAGTATGTACTCTTTGGCGGCTGCCTTCTTTCGCTGAACATAATGTCTGTGAGATTATCACTTTATTCTTAGTTCAAATTCCATGATCACTAACCAATAATAGCATTCCAAGGGATTCCAACCGAGAGAAGTTCTGACAATGTGGTTAGGACACCAAAGGGGGCACTCACTTCATGGTTGATGATTCCAGACATGCACTGATTGAGGCCCAGTTTGTTGAACTCATTGAGCCCACAGGCCAGCACTTTGCCTGACTGGGTCAGCAGAAATGTTCCATCACAACCACATTGAACTGAGACAATAATCAAGGCCTTGGGAACATCCACCTGCAAGAAAAAAATCCAGGGGGGAAAAGAAATCCTAAATACATAACTTGTAGTAGGAAAAAAACAACCCTCAAATACTTTCCAAAGGGATGTGTGGTACTCAGCAAAAAGACTACAGAGAAGGGCTGCTTTATTCTTGTCAGATTTGCCCAGCAGCTTAGAGGCTACTGTTTTCAACAAAGAGCTCAAGTTTTAAAATACAAAGTTAGAGAAGGCAGTACCAGGCTGACTAAACAGACAGCCTCTGCTAAAGTCTGCTTCAGCAACAGCTCTTACTTTGGTAGACTTCTCAAAATAAGTTGGGAAGAGAGAAGCATCGATTCATTGCTGATTTCGTCATCTGAAACAGAAGGCTCCATGACAAGCACAGAAGAAACTCAGTAGACCTGTGGGGTCCCACTCTGGTCATTTTATAAGTGAAGTCACAGAGTACTGAGGGAGCAGCCAGGACCTCCATGTGCTCACGTCCCTCCACAGCTAATTAGGCAGGGTTGGAGAACGGTGGAAGCAGACAGTTGAGGCAAATATGGCTATCTCTGAAACCTGAGGCCTCAGAGGCTCCACCATAGCCTTTCTGGGAGACGAGGAGTAGCCTTGAATTCCACTGACGATGGTTCCAATAGATAACTTCATTTTTAAAATGTAGATGAAATTGTTAACAGTAAATGGTATAGATGATTACATTTGACCTTCCAGTGGGTAAGCACATGCCCTAAGGCTGGTGTAAGGCAGAAGATGTGACCGTGCTCTTTCCTCAGCTGGATTTAGCGCCTATGAGCCTCTCACGATGCCAACTCTTACAGTGCTAAGGGTGATCACACAACATGATCCCTAAACACAAAAAACTACTTCAACTCATGTTCAACTAAAGAAACAGGATGGAAAACAGCTACGATGTGATAAGGGTAGAGATACTGCCTTGGAAACCCAAGGAGTCGTCGCTGTGAGTTGGACACGACTCGACGGCACATAACATCCTACTGCTTTCCAGTGTCTTCTTGAAGAATTTTCCAAGGTATACCCAGCTGTGTTGTTGCTACGTGCCATCGAGTTGGCTCTGACTCACAGCAACCCTATATACAACAGAACAAAACCCTTCCCGGCCCTGCACCACCCTCACCACCTTAGCTGCACTTGCTCTGCCCATTGTTGCAGCCACTGTGTCAATTCGATCTCATGGAGGGCCTTCCCTCTCTTCACTGACCCTCTACTTTACCAAGTATGATATCCTTCTCCAGGGAATGGCTCCTTCTGACAACCTAACACAAGTAGGTGAGACAAAGTCTGGCCATTCCCACTTCTAAGAAGCATTCTGGCTGTACTTCTTCCATGATATAGATTTGTTTGTTCTTCTGGTAGTCCATGGTATTTTCTGTATTCTTTGCCAATATCACAATTCAGAGGCATCAATATTCAGCTATAGGTGACCCTTTCCACTGTACACGCTGACTTCAGTGCTTGTGGTAGTTAAGGTTATGTGTCACCTTAGCTGGGCCATGATTTTGTGTGGCTTGGTAGCTGGACGTAGTTATTCCCCACAATAAAACTGGATGTGGCGCTATCGCCTCCATGGTGGAATCTGCTGGAAGCAGTTAATCAGCTGCCTTTGGGGTGTGGCTTGCTTCCAGCATATTATGGAAACCTTTGGGAAAGGTCCAAAATGGCTTTTTGCTCATTGTGGGTCCACATTTGGCCCGTCATCATCTCCAGTTCCTAGACTTGAACCAGCGGCCTGCTGTGTTGTCTGCTGATCCCGGGATCTTTGCCTTCGCAGCCTGTGAGCCAGCTGCCGTTTCACTTGCCAATATTGGATTCATCAGCCTCAGCAGCCATCAGCCTGCTACAATGCCTGCCAATCTTGAGTCTGTCAGCCCCTACAGTGGCTGAGACAGGAGAAGTCTCCAGCTTGCTGCAGTGGGCCAGGAAGGCAGCGCTGAAGTCCAAGGTCGAGGGGTCTCCACCCAGCCCCTAGAGCTGGCACTGTGGACTCAGACTTCTAGCCTAGTCTTCCCCTAGAGCTGACATTCTGCATTCGGACTTCAACTGTAAGAGAATAAACTTCCGCTTGTTAAAGCCATCCACCTGTGGTATTTGTTATAGCAGCACTAGAGAACCAAGACAGTGTTTGTCCCCAAGTAAGATGTGATTTCATGGTGTATATACTCCACAGTGGTTGAATCCTTTTTCTCAGCTTCCCATGATTTAGTCAGATGCTAAGACTCTATCATGTTAAATCAGGAATCCTAGATTGTCATTCTCACAGACAGGAAGTATTTCAGAAATAAACACCTTGATATGAGGAGTCAGGGAAAGAGGATACTATTACTCAAGTCAATGTGACCTAGGCTAGGCTTTAGGAAGATTTTACCTTTTGTGGTGTGTAATAATCCTCTTCTGAATCCAAACCCAGTCGTCCTGAGACATACATAAGAAAGATAATCGTTATAGTAAGGGCCTGCTTCCCAATGAAAATGTTCTTTAAGATTCTCTTTCACTGAATTAACACTCTTCAAATTGAGGCTGCATGCTGTTTGGATGCACAGAGGCTTGAGTCAGTTTGTGCACCTGGGAATAAGCGGACACAAGACACAAGGCTACACATACCATACTCGCCACAGCCCCAAGAAAAGACTTCCTTGTTTCGTGTCAAGACTACCACATGATTATCTCCGCAGGAGACCTGCTCCACTGGATTGTTGAGGAAGAAGTTCAGCTGCAAAGGTTCTAGCACTTCAGGGCCAGCAACCTTGTCCACCCCCATGCAGCCATAATAATCTGATCCAAAAGCATAGAGCTGACCCTCATCTGCAAAAGAAAAGAAAATGGAACCCCTCAAAGGACTGACTTTGTCCAATCAGACCCCTGGGCAGGACTGGAATGGGGCCTTCCCAGCCAATGATCTCAGACAAGATGATCACATCAGAGAAATCCTAAAGGAGAGACCATCCAAATCTAGAGTTGTTCATACTTAGAGGGTCCTGTGTACTATTACACCAACAGGGAAAAAGAAAACATATTAGTATTATGTTAAAGGAGCTTAAAAGCTTAGTAGGGCCTCCTTGCCTTCTCTATCTTATAGACTGAAAAAAAGAACAACCAAGCACTCATAAAGCAAGCACCAACAAGGGCAAATTAAGATTTCAGTTCCTGATTTCTGATTTAGTGTTATTCACACCCTGACTATGTGGTGAGATTCCTTTCTTTTTCCCTGATAAGTTCCTTAACTGAACACATTTAGCACATCTCTCCTGATCTGATCTCTTCTCTGTTATCCATCTGCCTTCTCCTTGCTCATCACCCCCTAATACTGCAGCAGAATGGGGGTGTTCCTTATTAATGCGTATACTTGTCCAATGATTTTGGTTCTTTTCATGCCGCCCTTAGTTGTACCACACCACACTAAGCACAACATCCTACATTAAATGCATTTCTGTGCTCCTGCCAATAGCTTACCTGTCACACAGACAGTGAAATCATCACCACAGGACACTTGATGGATGGCTTTGCCTTGCAACTTTTCCACATGCTTTGGCTGCCGATAGGAGGCTTTGTCTCCATGGCCTAGCTGACCGTGGAGTTTAGTACCCCCTTGCATGTTCTGTGAAATAAAGATATCTTGTGAAGTATTACCTTTTCATGCAAAAGCTAATTGTCAAGATAACTTTTTAAAATTTTTATTTTTTACATATTTTAATGCATTTTATTGAAAGATAATTTATGTACAGTGAAAATATACAAAACTAAAGTGACATGGATCAATGCTTATTTTATTTTTTTTTTTTTGCAGTGTTCCCTCCCCTCCTCTCCCACCCCTGACAACCAACAAAGAAAGTTTCCACCATATATAAACCTTTCCTGGACCCTCCACAACTATATTTGTCCTTCTGTGATTGACTTATTTCACTCAGCATAATGTCCTCCAAGTTCATCCATATTATGCAGTGTTCTTCAGATTCTACATTATTTTTTAGTGCTGCATAGTATTCCATTATGTGTATGTACCATAGTTTGGTCAACCACTCTTCTGCTGATGGGCATGTAGGTTGTTTCCATCTTTTTGCTATTGTAAATAGTGCTGCAATGAACATGAGTGTGCATGTATCTGTTCCTGTCCTGGTTCTCACCTCTCTAGGATATATACCTAGTAATGGGATTGCTGGGTCAAACGGTATCTCTATTTCCAGCTTTCTAAGGCATCACCATA